TGAGAATGTACCTTTTATAGTGCTCCAGTCGTGGCAGGCCCATTTAGGTTTCAGTTTGTGTCAGCTAGAGGAATTGCCTTACTGGGGGCAAAGGTCCCATTTAGGTTTTTCTCCATGGATGCGTGCTGTTTCGTCCCATGCCTTATCTCAGACCAGCCTTTTTCATTGCTGGTCAGGAGCATTGTCAACAGAGCCTGAATATCTGCCCAATCAGGATGATTGGTAGCAAAAATAGTGGTTATTAAATTTGTTATTTTGATAGGGTCATCCTGGTGTGGCACTGTGGGTCAATGCTCTGGACCACCAAGTCTGTCAGAACCAAAAGGTCAGTGGTTCAAGCCCACCAGTCGCTCTCTGGAAACCCCACACAGGGTCACCATGAGTCAGAACCAACCCGGCGGGCACCCAACAACATCTCACTAGGAAGTATTTGAATTTTTCCTATTTAACAAATCCAACCAAAGGAGAGAAAGAAGCATGTGCCCAGTAATATCCTGCAGCTTGCCCTTCCATATTCAATTGTGTGGGCATCTGCAGAAGGGGGCATTGCCTTGCCTCTGTTCTGAGTAGCCCTCTACCAAAATGGGTCCCTTGAAGGGTATGGTATAGAGAAATCACTTCCAAACTGCTTTCCTCCGCGGCTGAATGTGGCCAAGCCGGTTCACTAGGTCAGGCTATATTTTTTCCTAATGGCAGCTGCTGGTGCACCAGGAGTTGTAACAAGACAATGCTGCAATCAAAAGCTATATTTCATGAAAAAATAACCATCCATCTCTTGGTATATTCACATACAGTCCTGCTTAGAACTCTGTTTTCACCTAACTCTCATCTGTATTCATTTTTCCTCTGCATGGCTTTTATATTAGCAGTATAAATGCATTGTAGTACATATATGCGATATAAATTACATACTCTTGGAATTCCAGGTTGTCTTCAGTTTCTTAAACATAAATACAGGACAAAAAATACTTTTACAAACAAATAGACAATCTGACACAGTGGTTGAATAATTCAAGCTGTAAAATGTTATCATAATTTAAGGATCCATTCAAAGGTTATTTTTCCATCATCTAGATCGTACATTGGTTAAGCTGTATTACAGTGAAACACCATTTCCTTTGATGTCATAGGAGGGTACCCATACAGAAACCAGTCAGACAGAATTACACCTTACAGTGCTTTTCTTTGGGATTGAAGCCTGTGCTCCCGTTTTTCAGATACACAGGTTAACCTTAACAGAAACAGAAGGGAAACTTTTAGGAAATTACTTCCTGCCTACCATGTCCCAATATGCACGACCAGAATAAATCAAGAGGATCTCAAAAGTGAAGGTGACAGTGAGTGCAGGAGACACAGGGCCAAAGACTCCCAAGAAAAGATTCTTGGCAACGCTGCTTGGAGTGTTCGGTTACCGTGCTCCTGGGCTCACCTGTCCAGGCAGCCAGCAGGCCTCCCACCTCCCACGGCAATACGTTCACAACAGACATTGCATCCAGACATTGCTGTTCCTCTTGCTAGGATTTTTAAACATCTCTTAGTTTTGGAGCGTTTCGAACCAGGAGTCCACGCCATGCTAGTAGTGAGGACCGTCTCCCTAAACCATATGAGGTTCTCCACCAGCCCGGGGCCAGACACTCTCACTGTCACCACACATTCCTGCACACAAGACCTCCCTTTTTAAAATTCATTAACATACATTCTAAGACTGTTGGCTCACTATGAGATTTCCTATAGCACCTAAGGGTATGTAGTGCCCTTGATCGGGTCGTGAGAGACAAGGGAGGGATTCACTCAGTTGTCCGCCTGGCCTCAACCCTCTCAGGAACTCAGACGCGTCTGACGTCATCGTCATGGAACAGCAGATTAGGGCCCTCTCAGATTCTGTAGCCGGAGCCGTGAAACCACACAGACCAGGCTTCCCAAACCATGCTTTGGCTACAGTCATACTCACACTCAACCAATCACACAGAGTTTATGGCTGTTCCATCCCCTTTAGGGGAAATCCCTGACTGAGGCCTCTAGGTGAAACCTTGGAAAGTGATCAAGTTTCCCTTCTGTCCACAGGGACAGGCCTGAGGGGGTTTAACCCGAGCCCCAAGGCCTTACCTGTTCCAGAAGTCCTGGCCAGTTCTCTGGTTCAACCTCTCCTTTTGAGTCCGGTCAGGAGAGATAGGTGCTGTGGCTGGCTGCCCCAACTCAGAGGAGGAGGATTTGTCAAATGAGGCGGTAGCACGCCATCTTGTCCACCAAGGGGAGCTCGCCCTCAGCTACTCCCTAACTGCGAGCCGATGGCTCAAGGGGCGGTTTCCAGGTGAGGGAACCAAATGTTACAGTAATTCTCGATCGGAATATGTTACAGCAGTTTTAGACCTGAGAGTGTTATAACAGCTTTAGATCCATCGCCGAAGAAACCAAGGCCACTCGGAGAGGTGAAGCAGAGTTTCAGATTTTATTAAACCGGTTGGCTCAGAGGATCTAACTACTCCAGATTCAGAGCACCAAGTGTAAATTTAATACAGGCTTATACAGGGATAGAAAAGGGGAGGAGCTAGGTTTTGGATCTGTTTGAGGACAGGGAGGAAATGAGAAGATTGGTCCCACTGAGTAACCTGATTAACATTCCAGCTTGTCTCCCAGGGGAGAAGGCAGTGAATGTTTTTACCTTTTCCTGTTCACTACAATGCCACCACGCCACAGCTGCCATTGTACCATTGTTTAGTGCTGCTGACTCAGCTCCATCTCACAGATACCCTGTACAGGATTTCCGAGGAGTGGCTGAGTTTGAACTACTGACCTTAACAGTTTAAACTGACCTTGTGGTTTAGTGTTTATCCTTCAGCGTTATACCAGTACACCAATTAAATTGTTGTTGTTGTTAAGTGCCATTGAGTAAGTTCCAACTCATAGTGACCCTGTATAGAGTTTCCAAGGAGAATCTGGTACACTTAAACCACCAACCTTGTGGTTAGCAGTCCAGTGATTATCCTACAGTGCCACAGCCTAGAAATTCCATTCCTAGGCGTATGCTTTATCAATCTATAATGAAGGTGGTGGCTGTGTATTATCAAGTTAAAAGGAATGTGTACCAGGGATTGAATATTAATGCTCATAGCAACATTATTTCTTATTAGATCAGGAAAAAAAAATCTATCCATTAATGAATGGATAAATAAAATGTTCATGCAATGTAATATCATTTGGCCATAAAAAGTAATGAAGTATAAGGGGATTCAAAAGGCCATTGAAAACTTCTATTATCTTTTAGTTTTGAAGGAACTAATAAGAGGTCTAAAGTGATGGACTATGATGGACATGATGATGACAAGGGAAGAAAATGCAGTCACAGGGTACAGAATGTTGGGCAGTAAATGTAACAAGTAAAACAAGGCTTTTTTAGGTATATGAAGAATGGCACTATAATAGGAGTAGATTCTAACTGGAAGGATAAGCTGCAGTTACTTGGCAATGAATATGCAAATATAATGATACTTCACAAATGGAGCCATTCTGGGTGATAAAAGCCAGGAAGTGTCTTAGTCATGGAAAGCTCAAGTAAGGCAAAGGTGCTGGCCACTGATGTTGTGGATGCCAAAGACATATGATACGAAAAGTGTCTTTAATGATGGTGGAAAGACTTACGTGAACATAGGAAAACTAATGAGTGGACATCACTGATCATAAAGTAAAGTTATCGTGTTGGCGAGGGGTGTTAAAATGGTAAGAAATAAAATGAGTTACATTAATAAATCCAGCTAAAACTAATAAATTGATCCAAACTTATAAAGCAGCGAATTTATCGGGAGGAAAGATAGCAGAATTATTATTGAGACTAGAGTTTTACCATATGGAGCAGAAAATACAGCAGCAACTGAACAATTCTCTGGTTAGTTTAGCAACAAAGCCCCTGTCACAATACAACCACAATGAGAAAAAACAGATGATGTAAAATACACCATAATTAGAGACAGAAAGCAAGTAATCTAGTTGGCTTCCCTTAGCCTCTTAGGGGAAAGTACCAGAAGGAGTTCAAAAAAGAGTTGTATAGCAAAGGTCAGATTATGTGGAAATGAATTTGATTTATGCATTGAAGAAGTCAATGAAACCTGCAAACTCTCCCTGAGTAGAAGACAGGCTCAGCCCTGCCATTGCTCTTATGAACCTGTGTATACAAAATGAGTAAATGCTTCCTTGTTTCACACCATCTCAGCCTGTTCTTCTACCGCCATTGCAGGGCTTGACATGAGTATGAAAAGAGTATTTTATATGAAAAGGAAAACACTTCTTTCTACACAGAAAACATGGTATGTATGAATTACATTGTATTTTATTTCTTATAAAAATCATGTTTGCTTTGGTTTATATTTGTGGAGGTAAGCATTCTGAGCTTCTCACTTGATCAACATTTTATTTGATGATCAAATAGCTTTTACTGTAGCAATATGACAAACATTGCACATTATAAACATCAGAAAGAGATTGGGTAATTTTAGCCAAAAGAAGAATGTCCTGGCAGGTTAGGAGGTGATGACCAACTGTAAGCAGGCCTTCAGATGAGCAGAAGGACAGTTTCAGCAGCGATGGTGTTGAGACTGAAAGGCAGGTTACTCTAGGCGCAAGGCTGACATGATTCAGTTCAATTGATTTTCTACATTCTGGAATTCTACTCAAGATTCAATATCCTGAAAAAAAAACACCAATAGGCCCCTTGTGAGTCACATGCCCACTCCTGGGATGGAGGGGCAGATTCCAGCAGGAAAGAATCGACAAAACTTGCAAAAGATTCAAAAAGACTGTCCCAGATGCTGTAAATTACCCTTTATAATGCCATACTTACAGTTCTGGTGTGGCACTGCAAGTTAATGCACTGGACTACAAGGTCAGTTTGGGCCACAAAGTCAGAGGTTCAAACCCACCAGTCGATTATTGGAAACCTTATACAGCGTCGCTATGGGTGGGAACCAATTCAACAGCACTTAACAACAACAACAACAGTGCCATACCTAGTTGAGATATGTCTGTGAACTTGATGTTAGGGCCAGCTTTTGATTCCTCAAACACGATGATCTAACAGGAGGAAATGGGAATGCAATAAGGTTTATGTTTTGCCTTTGAAAGTAAAGCTGTATCCAAAAGAAGTGGAATGGGAGGCTACAGAAGGTGGTCATTTCACCTCGTTTTTTCCTGGATGAAGCCAAGGTCCAGGAAGATAAAAAGTTTCCTGGGGACCTAACTTCCAGTAGCGTCCTAGGTTTTGTCCATTGATGAAAATTACTCCTTTTGTCCAGCCCTGGAAAAAATTGGAATGGAAGATTGAGAATCTGAATTCTACAGGAAATGACATTAAAGGTGACACACACATACATCACACACCACAGACACACCAAATTATAGGTGGTGCTGTGGATTAATGTGCCCAACTGCAAAGCCGTTTGAACTGCAAGGTCAGTGGTTCAAGCTCACCAGCTGCTCCTCAGAAACCCTATACAGGGTCGCTATGGGTCGGAACCAACTCGATGGCACTTCACAACAACAACAACAGGCAAGATTCATCAGGGCTCACACACTCTTATAACAGCAAAGGTCCTAGATTGGAAAGTTATACTTGCTGCCCCCAGTCTGGGGCTGGCTCAGCCACTGACCTCAGGAAAGAGAGCACTGACTTCTCACTCATCTCCCTACATCTGTCACAAACCAGAGGAAGAATTTTCCCTTTACCATCCCAGCTTCATCAAAGCATATTAATCCCCCAAAATAGCTAGAGTTGAAAAATTCCAGGTGTGTCTTGCAATCTCAAAGACAACATCGACACCACAGGCTAGCTATTCAATTCAGTAAGGAATTAAGGGCCTCAACTCTTTGAAGTATGCCTGGTGGATCACTTCCAATAAAGTCTCTGTGCAGTTGCTCTACCACTATCCCCACTAGAAAGCCAACCCATGTCTCTCTCACTTGATGAGTTCCCCCCTCCCCCACCCTGATTATAACCCTAGGAAGGGACAGCCACCCAGATGGCTGTGGGTTAACTGAGGTCCTTGAGAGATGCTCTGACATAAGTTGGGACTCATTTACCATGAAGTTTTTTCTTAAAGGTTCTTTTGGGATGGGAGCTTGAAGGGGTCTCAAGCAGGAAAGAAGTTTCACTAACCTCCAGTTTTATGAAGGTGTCTCTGGGAGTGTGACCGATTCTCAGGAAACCAAGGAAGAAGGCAGGGCCCAAAGCTTGAGTTGGGACTGGTTTCCATATGTTAGGAATTTCCCTGAGAGAAAAGTCAAGCAGCAAGTAGACAGGTAGTTCCTTTCTTTATAATACATATTGTGACCTTTAGGGGAAGTCTCCCCCTGTCAGAACCCAGTGGTCTCTCTAAAGCACAGGCATATACTTTTAGGGTACATGATGGGTAAATAACATGTGAGACAGGCAGTGGAATGAATGATGTTAGTTACCACTTTGCCTTAGACAAGTATGAAACTTGGAGTTATTTCTTTAATGTCTGGGTGTTAGTCATTCTTTGGGGAGCAGAGTTTAGTCATTCATATCTACAAGCCAAGTGTAGGGCTGACGATCTCTGAGGTCCTCCCATCCCTAAATGTGATACCCCTCTTTGAGTACCACATTGGGCCAATCATTGGGCACCCACCTTTGTATGAATTTAGGCTTCATCTCCAGGCTGAAGATCTTAAATCCTCTTAGTGGGGAATTATTAAGATAGATGTTCCCAGTTAAACCTGATGGAGAGGAAGAATAAAGGTGAGCGGATTATGAGATGTACAATGGTTGGGGCCAGGGCTCCCCTGGAGTAGGATGCACTACTGGCCTCACCTGCATGTCAGATTTCTACAGACTCTTAAACAATGATTTTTCTGAGTGCACACCTCTTAAGGTGGTGTCTACACCTCCCACATAAGCACATGGGAGATACTATACTTTCTTCCAGATCTAGGCAGCACAGGGACACAGGTTGGCCAGGCACTTGGGACAGGAAAAGAATCGTGTGGCTATAGGCTCAGAAAGCACTGGGAACAGAGGAAGGACAGCAGGCCTGGGGCTCCAAAGAAGCAAGTATCAAGCATCATAGAAAAGGGGACTCCAGATTTTTCCTTCTTCAACTTTCTCCTGGTGCAACAACTGCAAAGCCCTGAGTTACATTCAAGGACACACTTGAGAGAGCCCCAGCATCCTTTCCCAGTAAAGTAAGGCAATATCATAGTTTCTACACGTAGATGTTCACTGGCTCTCCTCCAACCAAATAACTGTCCATACAGTCCTCAGTCAAGGGCAAGAGCAGCAGAAATTTGGTACCTCTGGATCTTAGGGAGCCCACCTTTTCTTTCTTTATTGATATTCTGCCCATTGGTGATCCGGCCTTGATTCTCCACCAGGATACTTAGAGTCCAGTAGTTCCTATAGCTCTGCCCAACACAGACCAGTCAGAGTTTGCACCCCTTGGCACCATTCTACAGATTGACCAGATCCCCCTTAAAACTAAGATGAAGACAGAGTATGAGCCTGCAACCTGCAGCCTTCAACTTGTGGTCAAGGGAAACCTGTGCTTCATCTGCTCACCCCCCTCTCCTGGGCCAATCCTCTCAAGAAAAGTCACTGAGCATTTTACCAGCCATTCTACTGGGGCTGGTAATCAACCCAGAGTTTCATGAACAGCAAATATCTAGGGAAAGAGATCTTCTCGCCTAGATGACAGACACTGCACCTCAGAAATCCACCTAGTTCCCCTAGTCCCTATTGAGCCTCTCTGCAAGGAGAAATTGAAAAGGGTCAGCCATGTCTACAATTGAACCCATTGTCCAGGTAACCATGAAAGCTAATTAGTCCATTAGCAAAGAGATTGCGTACGATTTGTGAAGGAATGGTCAGTTGATTAATGGAATGATCTAGGACTCCTATGTACTTTTCATTCAAAAACACCTGTCAAAGAGAAGGAAAGTACTATTAGGTCCTCATAATAAAAGGGGAAAGAGGGTGCCTTAAAAAGCAAATGAAGGGGCAAGTCTAAGGAAATTGTTAGGTCTTTGTCTCCCTTGAGTTCCCAACACAGAGTAGATTTAAAGCAGCATGGTGCTAAGATGCAAGAGGTCAAGTTAGAGAAGAGTGTTCCGCAGCACATCAGGGCCCTGGCTCCAGTGACAAAGTGGGAGTGAGGAAACAGGAAGGTCCTGAAAGAATAGTAGTGTCGCTGATAATGTGCCTTGGAGATTTCCTCATTTGTAACAAATAGTTCAGTGAGTGCTGTCAGAATTAGATGAGCAGAGTCAGCTATAATGTGCTTTGTAAATACAAAGGCTTAAATTTTTTCTAAGACTCCTTAAAACATCAACAGTTTCCATAAGGACACTCACCCATGGGGGTTTCCACACCTTAGACACACATAGTAGCAGTGGCATACATGTCAAGTACTTCGCTAAAGAAACAGGGATAACATTTTGAAAGTATAAAGGAGATTTAACTGTCATTGAGACATTCACTTCAGTAACAGAGTTGGGTTATTTGAGAAGTATCACTGAAACCAGCTCCCTACCTGAGCCCGATCTTGAACACTATCCCTTGATGTGAGGATTCCTCCAGTGGAGATGGGAATCTCATAAAGTATGTACCCTACAGACTGTCCACTACCGTGGTTCACAGGCATCTCTTCCATGCAGATTGGCTTGACAGACTGGGTTGGCTGTGGTAGAGACAAGGGAAAATCTGGGTTGAAGGTTCAGGTTGGAGAGTAAAAAATCAGAAAATCTCACCCAAAGACCACTTCACTACAGGAATGGCTCCAAGAGACTTGGAGAAAAACGTATTAAAACCACTGCATAATAGGGATCATGCTTAACTGAATTAAATAAATTGCTTTTTGTTTTCTCTTTACATGTGCTAGCCAGGGAGCGAATCTTATTTTTTAGATGGAAAAGCTGAAGTCAAGGAAAGTGAATGACTTTTGCAACCCACTCTTCAATTCATGGTGGAGCCTACACTAGACTCCTGATCTCAGGAATCCCAGTCCACCTCTGCCAAATTCTATCCTTGGTAGTCTCTTCTTTTCCCTTTTTATACTACTGGGGAATCTTCTGCTGAGATATCTGCTGATCTTGCACTAACGTAAAGCACTCCTATATGTTCATCTTCATGCCTACTGGGTGTCTCCATCTAGAAGGCAACAACAGATCTATCAAACTCTACATAACCCAAATTATACTGACCAAAGCACTTGCAAGCCCCTGTTCTTCCTTTCAGAAAGGCAGCAAATCCATTCAGCCAAAAAGATAAAAAGCAGCAAATCCATTCAGCCAAAAAGATAAAACAGACAATGTCTTGACCTTGTCTTCAACATTACACATCAACAAGTCATCACCTTCTGAAGACTCTTAGTAAATGTTATACCAATTCTCTCTTTTTATTATGACAGCAGAAGTCTGATACTTTCAATTCTCTGGAACAGTCACATTCTAACCCACTCCCACAAGGCTACTGAAGAACACCTTGAAATGCACTGCTAGTCATTAAACTTATGTTCCTGCTTTAACTGGTTCCCCATAACTTTCAGATAAATGCTCAAAGTTGTCAGCACAAAAACATGGCCTTTTAGAAATCCATGTAAAAACATGATCTCAGGTCTGCAGCAAAAAAAAATGTATGGCAACATAGCCTGAAACAGCTTAGGTGACCAAAAGATAAAGATGATATAAAAAACTTGTAGAGTCATACAGAAAGGACAGAAGCACTAACTAGAAAGGGTGCCCACTGGTCACAGATGGCTAATATGAGCATTAAAAAAAAAAAAAACTACAATGAGACTGAAGCATACTAAGTGTGTGTTTATGGCCATATCAAAAGTAACAGCAGGCAAACCACTCTCTGGCTACTTTTGGAGGACTACTATGAATAAATTCATAGGTCTGATGGAATATAATACTTGAATTTTTGCTTGACTTTTCTGTATAAACTGTACTTCAAGATAACAAAACAACTGATGAAGGAAGTATCTTCTATGTGGACAAATTCAAGTGAATAAATGCAGAAGGAATGATACTAATTAGAATGATACAATTTAGAAAGCCCTATACAGGGTCACTATGAGTCGGAACTGACTCAATGGCACTTAGCAACAACAACATAGATTTTCCGTACTGTAATGGCTTAAATGTTGCTATGATACTGAAAGCTATGCCATGGGTATTTTAAATACCAACAGGGTCAGCCATGGTGGACAGGTTTCAACTGAGCTACCAGACAAAGACAAACTAGGAAGAAGGTGAGATGGACTACTTCCGAATATTTAGACCCTGAAACATTATGAATAACAGTGGAACACTGTCAGCACCAGAATATTGAATATTGAAGCATGATGAAGAGCAGTAGAATATTATCAGATATGGTACTGGAAAATGAGGCCATCAGGTTGGAAGGTATTCAAATGTGACTAGGGAAGAGCTGATTCCTAAAAGCAGAGTTGGCCGTGATGATGCCAATGGAGTAAAAAGCCTTTGGAACTTTCACTTGCTGATGGAGCACAACTCAAATTGAAGAGAAATAGCTGTAAATATCCGCTAATAATCAGAACATGGAATGTACGAAGTATGAATCTAGGATAAGTTGGAAATTTTCAAAAATGAAATGGAATGCATAAACATTGATATCTTAGGCATTAGTGAGCTGAAATGGACTGGTATTGGTCATTTTGAATCTGACAATCACATGATTTACTACACTGGGAATGACAAATTGAAAAGGAATGGTGTTGTATTCATCATCAAAAAGAACATATCAAGATCTGTCTTGAAGTACAACACTGTCTGTGATAGGTTAATATCCACACACATACAAGAAAGACCAGTTAATACAACTATAATTCAAATTGATGCACCAACCACTAAAGCCAGTGAAGGTGAAATTGAAGACTTCTACCAACTTCTTCACTCTGAAATTGATCAAGCAAGCAATCAAGATGTATTGATTATTACTGGCAATTGGAATGCAAAGGTTGGAAACAAAGAGGAAAGATCAATAACTAGAAAATATAGCCTTGGTGATAGAATTGATGCTGAAGGTTGCATGATAGAATTTTGCAAGATCCATAACTTATTCATCGCAAATACCTTTTTAAAATAACATAAAAGATGACTATACACATGGACCTCACCAGATAGAATATACAGAAATCAAATTGACTACATCTATGAAAAGACACAGTGGAAAAGCTCCATATCATAGCCAAAGCAAGGCCAAAGGCAGACTGTGGAACAGATCATCAATTGCTCATATGCAAGTTCAGGCTGAAGTTGAAGAAAATTAAAACAAGCCCACAAGAACCAAAATATGACCTTGAACATATCCTACCTTAATTAGAGATCATCTCAAGAACAGTTTTGATGTATTAGACATTAAAGACCAATGAGCAGAAGAGTTGTGGGATGGCATCAAGAGCATCATACAGGAAGAAAGCAAAAGGTCATTGAGAAGACGAGTGAAAAAAAACACCAAAGTGTATGTTAGAAAAGACTGTGAAACTAGCTCTCTAGCATAGAGATGCTAAAGTAAATAAAGAGGTAAAAGAGCTGAGTGGGAAATTTAAAAGGCAGCTCAAGAAGACAAAGTCAAATATTATAAAGAAATGTGCAAAGACCTAGAGTTAGAAAACCAAAAGGAAAGAACACACTCAGCATTCCTCAAAGTGAAAGAACTGAATGAAAATTCAAACTTTGATTCGTAATATTGAAGGATTCTATGGGCAAAATAGGAGTCCTGATGTGGCACTGTGGGTTAATGCACTGGACTGCAAAGCTGTTTGAACTTCAAGGCCGACGATTCAACCTCACCATCTGCTCCTTGGAAACCCTATACAGGGTCGCTATGGCACTTAACAACAACAATGGGCAAAATATTGAATGATGCAGAAGGCATGAAAACAAGATGGAAGGAATATACAGAGTCATGGTACCAAACAGAAATGGTTGATGTTCAACCATTTCAAGAGGCAGTATATGAGTAAGAGCCAATGAAACTGAAGGACAACGTCCACGGTGCATTGAAGGCACTGGTAAACAACAAGGCACCAGGAATTGATGGAAATTGAAATTGAAATCTTTCAACAAATTGATGAAGCACTGGAGGCACTCATTTATCTATGCCAAAAATTTGGAAGAAAACTATCTGGCCAACTGACTGGAAGAGATCCATATTTTTGCCCATTCCAAAGACAGATGACCCAATATAATGAAGAAATCATCAGATAATATAATTAATATCCCATGCAAGCAATATTATGCTAAAGATAATTCAAAAGTAGCTGCAACCATACATTGACAGAGAACTTCCAGAGGTACAAGCCGGATTCAGAAGAGGACATGGAATGAGGTATATCATTGCTGATTCAGATGGATCTTCGCTGAAAGCAAAGAATACCAGAAAGGTGCTTATCTATACTTTATTGACTATGCAAAGGCTTTTGATTGTGTGGATCATGACAAACTGTGGACAACATTGAGGAACGTGTATTCCAGAACACTTAATTGTTCCCATAAGGAACCTGTACGTAGACCAAGAGGCAGTTGTTCGAATAGAACAAGGGGACACTGAATGGTTTAAAATTAGGAAAGGTGTGCACCAGGGTTGTATTCTTTCACCAGAGATTGCCATATGTGGCAGCACCTCCCATAACTAAATTGACAGATGGAAGAGTCAAGAACAGAACAAAACTATAAGAACAAACTCAGAGAATCTGGGAGGTTAGTCTATAATTAAAACAATTACAGTATTAAAGAAAAGAAGATAAACACGTAGGAACAGAGATCCAGATGGTGAGAAGGTCAGGTAGATTACAGGATAAAATAGATTGCACTAAATGGAGGGAAAAGTTAATGGAAGTTGCTGGGACTGCGGGTTGTATGGCTTGCTGGTTGAAGTTCTCTCCTTAGGCGAACAGTCTCAATGACCATTTGTCAATTCTTCCTTCAAGGCCGGTACCGATTTGGACACCGGTGCTGGAATGAACATCCTGGGGCTCCAGGCGGAGGATGGCAGCAACCTCAGCAGCAGCCCGCAGTTGGTAACAGGCGCGGATGGAATGCCACTAGTGAGAGAAACTCCAGTGTGATCCAGCCATCCAGGTTCTCCAGATCTGCTCCATGTGGGGGCAGCAGAGACCAAGGGAAGCAATCAGTATGTTCTTTCCAGGGTGGAGCAA